TAGGTGAGCCACATCTGCATCTCTCACCTGCCTCCCGGCCAGATGTTACCCCCCCCCCCTTCTGCAACCTCAGCTCCCCTCCCACCAGCGAGAGAGCTCCGCGGCGGGGGGGCAGAGAGCCAGCCTAGGGCTGAGCTATCGCCAGACCTTGCAGTGGGGAGGGAGGGGGGAAAAGAGGCACTGGCCCCCTGGCTTGTCCAGATTCGGTCTTTCCCTGTCGCCCACTGCCTGACTGCCACAGCAGCTGGGAGACAGAAGGACCAGATGATGGGGCTATAGTCAACTGAACCATAGGGTGTGTGTGTGTGGGGGGGGTCCTCAGTAACTGAGGAAAGGCTAGAAGACCAGCATTCTTAGGACAGTGGTTGGTGATTAATCCATTACATCCAGCGAGCACTAACCCAATCCCCTGCCCATCTCTTCTACGCCCCTCTCCACCAGCTTTAAGCAGAGATCCCGGGGAATTGACCTCAGCTGACATTTTTGGAAAGCTGGAGGGATTAGGTGGCACCCTGAACAAAAGGGCACACAAAATCCCAGAGGCTCCCATGGAAGAAAGCCCGTTACTCAGGGCAGAAAGGAAGGATGAGTGTAGAGAGACAATAGGGTAGATGGAGCAAGGAGGTTATTCAAAGGAGGATCAGAGACAGGAGAGAAAAGAGAAGCATATAAGTGAAAGGGGAGCAGGAAAACAAGAATGAGGAAGGAGAAAGAGGGGAGAAGACTTGTGATGACATGTCTAGAGGTAAGTGGAAAGAGGACAGAGTACAAGAACAGCAGGAGGGAGAAGATACATCTCTCTTATTCTCTCCTATTGTCCTGTTCAGGTGATCTCTGGACAAGAACAAGGGGAGGATGCAGAGCAAGGTGAAAATGAAGTTCAAGACAGATCCCAACTGCAAAAGAAGAGGGAGCACCTCTCCCCGAAGTCCCTACTAACTCAAACCCCATTGCAGAATTTGACTCACCTAGAGTTGGTCTCTAGTTCACAAGAGTTCTGGGAAGTCCTGGACAACCTGTCTGAGCTGGACCAGGGCTCACGCTCTAGAGGACGCAGGGACCGTGTGGCAAACACAGGCAAGTTCAAGAAAATTTTTGGCTGGGGTGATTTTTATTCCAACATCAAGACAGTAAAGCTGAACCTTTTGATCACTGGGAAGGTCGTCGATCATGGTAACGGTACCGTTAATGTCTTCTTCCGGCACAACTCTACTGGGCAGGGCACTATCTCCGTCAGCCTCGTCCCTCCCACCAAGACAGTGGAGTTTGACCTGGAGCAGCAGATCTTTATTGAGGCCAAAGAATCCAAGGTCTTCAACTGCCGGGTAGATTATGAGAAAGTGGATCGGGCCAAGAAAACCACACTCTGTACTTACGACCCCTCCAAAACCTGCTACTATGAGCACACGCAGAGTCATGTCTCCTGGGTCTGTTCCAAACCCTTCAAAGTCATTTGCATCTACATTACCTTCTACAGCATAGACTACAGGCTAGTGCAGAAGGTGTGTCCTGACTATAACTACCACAGTGATGTACCTTATTACCCCTCTGGATGATAGACCTGTTCCATCTCAGGGATAGCCCAGAGACGGGTGTCCTGGGGAAATAGTTTTGTAAGCTGAAGCAGAGTGCAGGGGTCTCTAGAAACCAGAGTTCTGATGCAGGACAGAAAAGGAAGGAGAACTGATTTTCTCTAAAAGCCTAAGCATTGAAGAAAGGAATTCTAGACTCAGGGTACTGGCATTTCTAAACCTGACCCAGAGCTGTGGTCTTTAGAGACTGGGCTATGTAGAAGATGCCTGGACACGAAGTACAGAAATCATCATCAGGATTTGGGTTTCTCAACACAAGAATATTTGCCTGGACCTAGCTCACGTGGCCAAGAAACCAAGGCCTGGACATTGGGTCAAGGGGTCTACAGACACATGCTTAAAAACCAAACCAACGGTGGCCTGGCTACAGAGTAAGAGGTCTCGTTGGAGATAAGGATATTAAAGGGGACTCATGCTAGTGTATTAAAGATGGCTGTTTGACATCAGTGGGTAACCATGTACTTGGAGCTCTACCAAAGTATGAGCTAGAGTTGACTAGCAGGGTCTCGTGTACAATCTGTATTTGGGAGTGCAGGTGCCTCCAGAGACTAAGAGCTAAAAGCTCAGAAGTAGAAATATTTGGAGGATCCTCTGCCATGACTAGGCAGGAATGAAGAAGGGAAATTAGATTGTCTGGGGATGAGACGTTTCCAGACGAAGTGTCATCTCTCCTTGCTGTGGGGTTTTCAGACGCTGTTAGCCACTCCCGATGGCTGGAGTTTTTACAGCATCTCAGCCCTATGGATCGACAGATAAAGAAACCCTGGTCAACACAGTCAAAAACGCTGACACAGTATATAGGATTCACAAATTTCACTTCATCAAATCCATGACCCACATCACTCCTCCTCTCCCCCTTGCATCTGCATCCTCAGTCATGTCAGCACCCCACATTTTTCCTGCTCTCCATTATTTGTCTACCTCCAGCAGATCTCTTCCACCCATCCTGAGCCCCATAGCACCTCAGCCCTATATACTATGTAGCTTCTGTATTTTTTGGGGGGTGAAAAGATATATATGTGTGTGTGTGTATAAGAGAGAGAGAGAGAGAAGTCATGTGTTTGCTGTATCATTTAATTTATTTAAAAAAAAATAAAATCTTGTCCTTGAAATGGAGAAAGTTTCCCCGGTGCTAAGAGGGTAGGGTAAGTGTTTCCATTGAGAACCATCTGGTCTTTAAAAGAGTCTCTTCCCTGGCTAAAAAACAAAAATCTTCACAGTTATGAATGAGAAATGCAAAATGCATGATCCAGTCTCCTAACATGCCCTCTCCAACCCCACTGTCCATATATACTATTCTGTTCAGGTTCTTCCCCTGCATTCATTTTTCTATGATCTGAGCATTGGATACATTTTTATTAGCCTGCAGGACTAGAACTTGTGACCTTTAGCATTTAAATCAGGCACTGTATGGGGTTGATACTCCGCAGTGGATGTGTGAATTCTGAGTTACTAAACGGGGATTCGTAGCCTCAAATCTCTCTGCCTTTCCCTCTACATTAGAACAGGGATGGGCAAACTTTTTGGCCCAAGGGCCAAATCTGGGGATGTAAATTGCATGGCAGGCCATGAATGCTCATGAAATTGGGGGTTGGGGTGGGGGTGAGGGCTCTGGGGTGGGGCCAGAAATGAGGAGTTCAGGGTGTGGGAGGGGGCTTTGGACTGGGGCAGGAGGTTGGTGTGCGGGGGGAGGGCTCTGGCTGGGGGTGCGGGCTCTCGGGTGGGGCTGGAGATGAGGGGTTGGGGGTGCAGGAGGGTGCTCCGGGCTGGGACTGAGGGGTTCGGAGGATGGGAGGGGGATCAGGGCTGAGCAGGGGGTCGGGGCGCAGGGGTGCAGGCTCCGGGCGGCGCTTACCTCAAGCAGCTCATGGAAGTAGTGGCATGTCCCCCCTCTGGCTCCTACGTGGAGGCGCGGCCAGGTGGCTCTGCACGCTGCCCCATCCGCAGGCACTGCCCCTACAGCTCCCATTGGCCGCGGTTCCCGGCCACGGCACGCACGGAGTGGGGCAAGCCCCAGACCCCGCTCCCTGGCTGGAGCTCAAGGGCCGGATTAAAATGTCTGAAGGGCCGGATGTGGCCCCCGTGCCGTAGTTTGCCCACCCCTGCATTAGAACCTCACAAACTTCACTTTGATGCACAGAATGCGCAGACTGGCATTCTCACAGAAGACCCAGCGAGCTCTCCATTCTGTCCCTTCCCACCCCCACACTATGCCAAGGTCTCACATTACTAAGACTTTATCACGTCAGTAAAATCCTATCCAAGTACATTTACCAGTGTCTTATGCATTGAAACTGAATAACAGTTAAAGTAGGTTTTGTGACCCAGTGTGGTGCTGTTTTGCTTTTGTTTTTAAATCATGTTTCTTTACCTAGTTGCTAATTCAGAATGGATCTTCTGGTTATTACAGCAAGTCAGCAAGGCTCTATTATACGCATCTGAACATTTACATACTGAGTAACACAGAGAAGCCAGCCAGAGTACATCAATCAAAAAAAAAAATTTGCTTTAGTTGAATAACCAGGAATTTTTACTCTTCACAAACCAGAGCACAAAATACCTTGAAAGCTCAGTTGTAAAAAACAAACCAACAAAAATAAACAACAGTCATAATATCTGATATTTTGAAAGGATTGCTTTCATCTCACGGGGAACAAGCTAAGGTACATCCCCAGAAGGTTTCATGCTTCCTTTGAAAAGAAATAAAGAAAAATCTGTTAACCCCTTCCCTCCCACTGTAAGAGAAAAAAAAATACACAAAAGTTGCTCACTTGGAGCTATTCCTGAAAAATTTTAATTTTCAGAGCATCAAAAACAAACAGTCAGGCTATACAGGATGCAGCATTTTAGAAAGCGATAGGGCAGTTGATGGTTACTAGGAGACCAGCACCGTCTATTATTCTAGATTAGAATCATCTCCTCCCAACTAACCAAGCAACACAAGATGATCAAAAGAGAATTTCACTAAACTAAACGGCAAAAACACACAAGCTAGATACACATTCTATCAACTATGTGGCTCACCCCTCTTTGTTCCAACTAGATCCGAGTGAGAGCCTTTGTAACAATTTATTCAACCAATTTCACCTTATGTTCAAGGAAATGTCTGAGAATACGTGGAGATTTCCTTGAATTTATTGAGCTCCATTTTGTAATTAATTTGGTTTGCTCTGCGGCTTACTCTTCAAGCTGTGCTGCGGAGTGGAGATTGGCCTCACAATATTGTTCTTGTTCCCGGACTAGATGAGTCTAACACTCATGATGGAATCTCTGCTGCAAATACATACAGAAAGCAAGTTTAAGTTATTTTCCCAGGAGTGCGTACACTTGAAATACACTATTATTACTGCAAATGCTAACAATAAAAAGTCAGTTCCAGGAAGAACTGTGGAAAGCAAAACCAGAAGTCATGCATCTATGACAGGGTGAGTTCATTACAAAAAAATTCATAGCAATATTTATGGAATATTTTTGCAGCTAATCATCCATCTCTGTTTATAAGCACAGGCTCCCACCATGCAGAGTAACTCAATGGGAGTGGAAGCTGATATCTACGTCTCAGGAGAAAGAACAGCTTTCGATAGCATCTGCTATTGGCTGAGATGTAGAACCATACAGTACATGGCAGTGGCTTCCTCCATCTCCAGTATGGAATTCCCCAGTTGGCTAATAGAGTCTCTTCCTTCCCCACCAAATCCTTCTAATTGTTTTAATGAGTCTCAAAGATGCATCTAACCTTTGCTTTGGCTTGTTCAGAAACCCAGCCTCCCAGAATGAATTACCCCATCCCCATGCCAAAGTCAACCACGCTTGCTCTGCTATTAACATAACTCACTTTTTCAACAGCCGACACTGTCAGAACTCCAGGGGAGAAAGAAGCCAGCCGGCCACTGCACCAAGGACAAGAAGAATCAGAAAAATCAGAAGCTACTGAGAAACAAATCAAATGTAGTTATTACAGAACAGCAACACGACACTTTTCACTGAGGAAAAAGTACTAGACAGAATCACAGGAATTTGAGATGAGACCACCTACAGCGTTGCCATTTTCTCTCCTCCCACACCTCCCCGCCACTGAGGGCTTCTTCTGTACACTGTAAATTCTCTGCTTCTATCCTGTCCATTTTAAGTGGCTCAAATGATGGGGCTTCCACCATTTCCCTTACAAGACTGTTTTACACTTGAATAGCTAGTATGTCTTCCCCATCCCTGCATTCAGCCTAAACATTCCTTTGTTTAGTTTCACATCTCATTACTCCTAATTACATCCCAGGGTACTTGCCTAAACCAAACCCTAAATCCATCTCCGTTATGGGGGGCATTTAGACCCTTTACATACTTGTAGATGTAGCTTTCCCTTGCCATCATCTAGTCAATGACATTTAATTTTTTTGGTCTTTCCTCTCAAGTCACCACACTCATCCAAAACTAGCAGTGGCACAGCTATGTTAAACGGGATATTTATTTGACATTAGGAGACCGATTACGCAGCCCTAAGTCATATTTAGTTCCTTACTCTGAGTGGTCTAATTCAGTGTTTCTCAACGACCGGTCTGTGGACCAACATCAGTCCCCGAGATGTCCCCGACAGTTTAGAAAGACAGCAAGCCCTAGTATCAAAAAGGTTGAGAAATGCTGGTCTAATTGATTACAATAGGACTAGTCGCAAAGAAAGGCCCATCTCAACGCAAGGATGGCATACTCTGAAGCTTAACGAAAATATGGAATCCCTTGAAACACCAAGGGATTATAGCCCATAATGTCATCAAGACTCTTCAATAAATGTTCTACAAATATTCCAGCCAGATGCCAAGATTTTGAATGAGAAGGAATTATTAGTATTAATTTGTAAGTAAATTTTTTTTTTGCCACAAGCGTCATAGTTAATGTGATACAACTTCTTTTTATAATCCTAAAGTTGATGTGTTGCCAGTTCTTGTAATTTTTATCATGAGTCTTGCAGTATTTGGTGGTTTTTTGCACAACCCTGGCTACTGGAGTCATTTTATTGCCTAAGAATCTCAACGTTCAATTAAAAAAACAAAGTTTCTAGCCCTGATGGTTGCAGGGAAAAAAATAAAATAAAATAAAAAAAAAAGCATGAAAATATAACTTCTAACAGCTCAAACACCAAAAAACAAATTAAAGGGGAGCCCGAAATTAGTTTAAAATTATCCTGATTTTAAAAGTCACTCTCATTTTTTGTGGAGCCTGACTCACGATTTTTGAACACTTGCGATACTGAAATTGGGTCAATAACTTTCTGGGGGGGAAAAATGACTCCCCATGAGCTGCAACTTTCCATAGACTGTGTCAGCATAAAGAGGCTTGGTTTGCTTTTCGGCAAGTTTGACAAAATATCCTTCAGGTACAGTTGAATGATCATAAAAGGTGAGGAAAAACAAACTATCATATATACTCATCCATAAGCTGAATATTTTGGGTAAAAATGTGACGCATCAAAGAGGGGGGGGGTCAGCTTATAAATGGGTCTACACCAAAATTTGATGATTTTAAACTCTATGGAATCATTGAATCGAATATCGAATACATGGTCGTTTTGTTTACTTGGAGCATCTGCAGGCATGGAGCGTCTCAGCTCCCTGTGGCCACGGTTCGCCGTTCCCAGCCAATGGGAGCTGCGGGAAGTGGCGCCAATTCCCGCAGCTCCCATTGGCTGGGAACGGCAAACCGCGGCCACTGGGAGATGAGGGGCTCTGTGCCTGTGAACGCTCCAGGTAAACAAAACGTCCTGACCCGCCAGCGGCTTACCCTGATGGGCCGGGAGCCAAAGTTTTCCAACCCCTGAAATATACGGTTGGCTTATGAAAGGGTCATACAGTTTTTGCTATTTTTACCTATCAATTTTGGGGAGTCGGCTTATAAACAAACGGGCTAATAAACGAGTATATACAATGTACTTTTCCCACTTTAAAAACATAATTCAAGAGTCTTTTTCCATGTACTGAAACTGAGAAGTAGCACAACTTCAAACTACACAGACTGCTGAACCTCCGCAAGGAGTAGTTATGCTAGTTTCATTTTAAATATTGAAAGATTTCTAAGCAGTTAAAAAGTTCACTGAATTTATTACTTAGATTTCTTTGGGGAAAAATGTCCAAGTCTCAGTGGTGGCTGCCCCTTCCATTTTGACCAGGCAGGGGCTGGAGAGCCACTGTTACATTGTAAGCTCTTTGGAACAGGAACTGTCTTTTTGTTTTGTGTTTGTACAGCATGTCATACGTTGCAGTCCTGGTTCACAATGCGGTTCCTAAGTGCTACCGCAATACAAATCAATGTATGTGACTGTTTTATATTCTTGAAATAGCAAATGGTTAAGAAAGGCTTTGAAGATCTATAGTCCATGAGAACTGTAGGAATATATAACCCAATATTTGTATTGAGATTGTTAGCTTGACTTATGAGATCTAATGAATCATCCATGTATTTATGAATTGTGTGTGTGTTTTTTTGTTTTTTTTTTAAAGCTGTAAGTGTCTCCATGAATTTATATTCCTTGCTTCAGTTGTTGCTCTGGTAACTTATTCTACCCACTTATTACTCTGCATAAAGCAGCTGTGGCCAAGTTTGTTTATTAATATTACCGTAGTGCTTTAAGACCCCAACCACGATCATGGCCCTGTTGTGTTAGGCACTGTACATATGCACAATGAAAAAAAAATCTCTGTCTTGAAGAGCTTACAGACAAAATAGACAAAGGGTAGGAGGGGAAACAGAAGTGACTTGCCCAAAGTCATACAGCAGATCAGTGGCAGGACTGAGAATGGAACTCGTGTTGCCTGATTCCTGGTTCAGGGCCCCAGCCACTAAACCACACTCAATGTCTCTAATTGTAAGACTACATTCCCTACTTCTGGTGAAGTGACAAAATGGTGACGTTTTCTTTCATGTCATTCTGGAGTCTTCCCTGTTACTTGACGTCATCCTTACCCTCCTCCTCTGCATTGTCTCGAATAAGGCAATATACTTCTTTTTCGTACACCACATCTGCTGCAATACCTAGGCATAACTAGGATAGCATTTTATCAAGTCAGTGCTGTCTAGTAGTTCAAGCAGCACAGTTTCTGGGCCCTATTCCTGACTAGACAACCTTGGACCAAGTCATTCTGTTTCTGTGTTTCTGGTTTGCCCCCATCTAGCTGGGGATAATACTCAGCTATTTGCCAGGGATGTGGTGAGGTTTAGAGTTTGTAAAGCACTTTACAGATCCTCAGAGGAAAGGGGGGAATGCAAGGACAAATCATTTCTATTAGTAAAACTCCGAACACTGTGGCTTGTTATTACACACGTCAGACCCGAAACATGTTTGTGTGTTGGAAGTATGGCGTTTGATCTAAAAGAAGGACTATGGCTTCGTTTGCCAATTATACTGAGCTACAGTCCCCAAGCATGACTGCTTCCCCCACACAGCTTAACACCAGCTGCTCTCTCAGACACACAAGCTTTCTTTCCCTCATCTTCCCATGCTTTAAACAAACTCCAGCAGCAGCAGCAGGTTTCTGATTGTTTTCTCTCCAATTAACGGCCGAGCCGCACTGCTCACGGAGAAAGAAAACGTGATGTCGCATTACGAAAACAATCATCTCATCACTGGAACTTCTTCCTGTGCAAAAAACATACCCATGGTTGGGTAGGATCAGGGTGAAAGAACAATCTCCCCCCCTGCCACCCAAAACCACCACACTCTGACCTGGAAGGTGGGATGTTGCCAACCAAGCCAATTTCGGCGATAGAAAGGACAGAAGTTGACAGTTAAGAAAACAGTCTGTTTGCTGTTTAATGCACTGGTGCCATGATGGCACCCAGCCAAGTGCTACAGGGATGGGGCATTCTAATCCCATAGGGGAGCTCAGTTTGTACATCATGTTCTGCAAAACGAGGCTTGGAACCTCCTGGTGGGAGGAAAGAATTCACTGTGTGTGATGGATTCCCAGACCTCACAGAGCACCCATCTGGTACCAGAGTCTCCTCTTCCTGGTGACTTGTGCCCAAAGAGGTTGAGGGAGGAGAGGCTCAGAAACGTACCCCCTGGTTCTTCCTTTAGGTCCCCAGCTGCACTGTGGCTTAAACAACGCTAGAAATAACGGCTTGAGCAGGTGTTATTAGCAGGATTGTAGCATGGGGTTCCCTTGTTTTCTTACATTGTAAACTGACAGGCGAAGAGAGAGAGAGTGTGTGTGTGTGTGTGTGTGTGTGTGTGTGTGTGTGTGTGTGTGTGTG